GAGTGAGAACCCGTGCTGTGGCCACAGCGAGGCACCGCACACCGAGGACCACAGCTCCATCATATGCAAAACGCAGGGTTGAGTGATAGAGACAGATGCCGGCTTGAGAAGCCATCCATCCCCCAGCCCAGTAAATACTAACTTCCCTTCTTCTTGCCCTCACCCCTAGCCTGCTCTATTGTGCCCCTGTCTTCCTGCCCAGAAGAACTGTCAAGCAAAGGGAAACTTGGACCTTGAACCCTCAGGCTAGGTGTGTACTGCCTGGCTCTGGACCCCCGCCACCCGAGAGGGTGCCAGCCTGTGATGGGTCATGGTCGGCAAATTGTCCTGTTACTTTTGGTGTGAGGAATTTAATTTGCCTCACCGGTCACTGATTACAAATGCCCTTGTAAGCCTACTTACAGCTCAGTTAGCCATAATTGAGGCAGTGGGGGGGAGGGGTGGACGTTGAACCAACAATACAGTGGGGACTCTGCCTGTGTGCATATTGGTGTGCTGGGGCCGGCACTGTGTGGCAGGGCTGAAGGAGCTCTGTTTGACAGGAAAGGCTGCACTTAGGGGGGTGTGAATCGGATTCTAACTGGCTCCCTCTGGGCATGGGGTTTTGGTCATTGTCACAGGCGGGCTCCAGCCTAGATCTGCCCCACCACACTGCCTAGCAAATCCCTCTTTGCTCCTTTCTTCTCCCAGCTGTGTGTCCTCCCTCTCTCCCAGGGGTTTTGCCCTACAAGTCAGTCTTCTGGGGTTGAGAGCTGGAGAGAAAAGCTTAGGTGGGGGGAAGGGGGACAGTTGACTAGAATAGTCAGCTGTTCCCCAAGGGGTGAGGTTTTGCTGAGGCTGCTGGAGTCTTGGGCACCAGTGTAGTTCAGCATAGCTGGAAGTAGTGACATTATATTAACAAATAACAATGGTAGCAATAAATTATTATAGAGGTAATAAAAATAATAGCAATACTTTAGCTACCTTTCAGTGGGCATTATGTCATTTAATTGTAAAAAAAAAAAACAAAACCCTCTGAAGCACAGGGAGGTTGAGTAACTTATCCAATGTTATGAGCTCAGCAGTGGTGGAGTCTGGACATGAACTCAGCTCTGATTCTGCAGATTGAGCACTTGACCCCTTGCCACACTGTGGAACGGGTATCTCTGGTCAGGTCTCAGGGCTGAACACAGGGCTGGGCAGCAGAACAGGTTTCTCTCATAAAGATTGTAACTGACAAGAGGAATGTGTTGGCATTTATTGAACTTATATTGATGGTAGATGTGATGTTTCAGGAAAGTGGTTTAGGTTTGCCAAGGTAGGTGTTGGAACCATGAAGTGGAAAGACTTGAGGCCAGGTAAGGGGATTTAACTTCATTTGGAGGTCAGGGGGGAGCCCCTGAAGGTTTTGAACAAGGAAGAGACCTGGTGGGAGAAGCACTGGCCCGGGGGGATGGTGATAAACCTGCATCTTGTATGTCAACAGACTTAACGGACCAGAGTGGGGGCAAAGTAACCAGTGGGGTTATTAGATTGTCAAGGTGACTAGCTCTATCATTCACTAGCTGTGTGACCTCAAAGATGTCCTCTCTCCTCTCTGGGTCACTCTTTTGTCATCTATAAGAGCGAGGAGGTTGTAATCAGAAGATGTCTAAGAGGTCTTGGGCACTCTGGGAGTCTTTTGGTGACCTTAGCTGGCCAGCAGATGCAGGAAGAAAAGAGGATGGAGAGAAGGGTTTTAAGGAGATTCTATAGTATCTAGGATCTGATTGGATAGAGAGGATGATGGAAGACAGTGGGTCTAGGATGGCTCCAAACTGCAAGGAGAGATTGGTAGAAGAGAGATATCCTGGGGGAACAATCTGGAGAAAGGCAGGACTCCTGGGAAGCGATGGGGCCATGGAAAAGACTGCTTTAGCGGCAGGAAGGGCAGCAAAGTAGGGAGCAAAGCCTTCTCCCTGCCCATCTTCCCCTGGAGTGCTGTTGAGGACACAAGCCTTTCTTAAGCCCCCAAACTTACAACCGACTGGAGTATACAGTAGGCTGAATAAACTGCTTGGGGCCCCAGCAAAGCACACCCCTCTCACCAAGACAGACACTAAAAAATGTGTATATGGATACAATAATTGAAGTGGAACATTTCTCAATCATGTTACATGGAAAGATGCTATTTTAACTTTAGCATCCATATAAGGATTGTGTCATTTCATAAAACTTTGTTTTTAATTTTCATGTGTGGAAGGACAATGTGTGATGCTGAATTCAAGCTTTTCAGTGTTCTTCACTGGAAGGGATGGGAGGAATTGTTTCTGAAGGAGAGGAAACTGAGGTTGTAGGCTGCTCGGGGTTGCCGTAGGAGAGGTTCAGGGCAGCAAGAGAGAAGCTGAAGAGGGAGAAGCACGGCCAGGTCCCTGTGAAGAAGGTGTCCGCTGAGGCCCCCAGGAAGGCTGAGATTTCCAAGAGAGGGAACGTGGGGTGGGAATGGGAGGTCCAAGTTAGGAAGGGATGATGACTGTCACAGGGTCCCAAAATATTGAAATAAGAAGACATTTTGGTTCTCCAGCCTTCCTTTCCCTGTACCGAATTCCCCCAGGCCACCCTTCCACGTAGCACCACCTGTGCCCAGCCGGCTTATATCATCCTATTTCTTTACTTCATGGCACTTATCTGATTGAATTGAAAATCATCTGATTTATTTACTTCCAGAGGAGAAAGGCCCTTCACTATTTCTGTTCACCTCTGTATTTCTGGTATCTAGAACAGGGCTTGGCATAAAAATAGAAGCTCAATAAATATTTGTTGAATGAATGAATACATGTATGCATACATGAGTGAATGAAATGGTGATATTTCAGGCCTTCTGGTGCCTGGGTTGGAGAGAAAGTTGGAGGCAGCTTGACCTTCTTCACGTAACTTAGAAAGCACCTGCTTGTGGAGGCCGCCTGGGGACGTGGCCACTCTGCCTCCCCACACCCTCACAGGCACGAGTGTGCATACTCTGTTCACGGCTTCATGAGAACCCTGGGACTGCTCCCAGTGCTGGCCAGGCTGAAGCTCAGCTGCTTATTCTCAGGGGAGGAGGAGCCCCTCTCTCCCTTTTTCTTTTTCTCTCTCTCCCATTCTCATTTCCCTTTTGATCTTTTTTTTTTTTTTTCTAAAATAGTAAGTAGGTTTGGGGGCTTAAGAAAGGCTTGTGTCCTCAACAGCACTCCAGGGGAAGATGGGCAGGGAGAAGGCTTTGCTCCCTACTTTGCTGCCCCTCCTGCCGCTAAAGCAGTCTTTTCCATGGCCCCATCCCTTCCCAGGAGTCCTGCCTTTCTATTACTCCTAGCCCAATAGACAGAGAGAGTCTTGTTGAAGTGGCAAGTAAGGGGGTCACCAGAGAGTGTTTGGTTATCTATTTCTATGCCACATAAGAAATCACCTTGAATTTAGTGGCTTAAAAACACTGACATTTAATGTGCTCATGGTTCTGAGGTCAGGATTGTGAGAGGGCAGAGTGGGGGAAGCAAATCCCTGCTTTCTGGGGTCTGATGGATCAGCTCCACTTAGCTGGAGCCTAGTGGGACAACAGGAGCCCTCCTGCTCCATGGGGTCTCTCCAGTAGACTAGAGGGGCTTTGTACATGGCAGCGCAGGGCCCCCAGGAATATAAAATTGGAAGCTTCCAAGCTTACGCCGCCTTCTAAGCTTGGGCTGAAACTGGTGGAGCCTCACTTCTACTGACTTTGATTGGTGAATGTGAGTCCTAGGGCCTGCCAGAACTAAGGGGGAGGGGGCCACAGTGGGGTGTGATTAGTGGGAGGCCTATTTCAGTGGGTGTCACCAATGCAACAGCCTCCCCCGCCACCATGAGCCAGCTCAGGAAAAGAACAAGAAGGGTTACTCCAGGGCTGATACGACCCATTTGTCAGAGTGCTGGGCCTTGGAATTAGACAGATGCAGGCTCCTGTCCTGGCTTGCTCACTTCTCAGCTGCCTGACCCTCCTGGAGTTTGGAGGTCCACCGCACCCTGGCCTCCTGCCTCTCCAACCTTCAGTGCTGCTCCTGTCACCTGCATAGACAGGCAGGAAACCCCAGGCTGGTGGAAATGCCTGTCCTGGTATGTGCTTCCTGTCTTTCCCTTTCTGCTCACTCCTCTTCTGTCCCATACTGGTCCCCCAGACCCGTTCCTGCCTGCCACCTTCCCTAGAAACCCTGATTTGTCCCACCTCAGAGGCATTGCCATTTATCCCTCATGTGTTCCATTTCCTTTGTACATGTCCCTTCTGTCTCCTGCCACCTGAGTAGAAGCCCTTTGAGTGTAGGACTTGAGCCCAGAGCAGTTGGGAATGCTTGCCGAGGTGAACGAGGCAGGTTGGCATGGACAAGGCTGGACAGATGGCCACCGTGGTGACTGCACCTTCCCAGCGGGGAGGCCCAGAGGTAGTGCAACAGTAGTCACTCAGGTCTCCTGCCAAAGAGGCTGGATTCAATGGGTCAAGGAATTGGCCAGTGAGGTGAGCAGCTAGACAGTGAGGGAGGGAAGGCCTAAGTTTGGGGCCGGGGAAGGGGTTCTCTGTTGGAGAGGACCCTGTGCGTTACAGACAACCATGTCCCTTCGTCTCCTTTTCTCCTTCCTCAGGGTCAAGTCAGGGTCCTTTCACAGATAAAACTACAGGGTTGGAGAGTGGTACAGACTGCCTGGAAGTCTACCTGATGCCAAGAACCATGCTTTCCCCCTGGCCAACACTGCCTTCATCAAGGCTGTCTGCTCCTCCTTCACTGGCAGGGAGAGACATCACCTTTCCTGTTCCAGATGGAGGCGCCCCAAGGAGCTGCTATACCATAGCCTGGAGAAGCAGGGTAGCTTGAGGAGACAAAAGTAGCTCTGGAGGGCATGAGAAATGGCATTCTTTATTCATAAATAGAAACATAAAATTATCAGAGATAGTTTATATGGCCAAGAAGGGGCATCAAAAATAAAATGAAACTGTCAAAAGCAACTCAAACCAAAAAAGAAAAAAAAAAACCAAACAAACAAAAAAACCAAAAAACAAAACAAGAAACAACCCAGAGAAAAATAACTATGTACATATTCTTCCAAATGCCAGTCTATCCGAAGCCAGCCTTGGCTGGAGGTTCCAGCTTTGCCTGCAGACTCAGCACAAGACAGACAACGCAAGAAGCACCCACTGGACAGGGTGCACAGCCTCCTGCCGTGGCAGTTCTGGTTTAGGAGGACTCAGGACCCATAGGGAAAGCCCTCTCCCAAAGCTGCTGCTCCATCAGCAAGAGATGGCCCAGGCTGGGCTGAGACAAGAGCAGGGCAGGGAGCAGAGGGTCAGCAAGTGTTTCTCGGAGGAAAGCTAACCCTCCCCAGGCCCTATAGAGCTCAGTGCCTTTGGGGGCCAGAGTGTACCCAGCAGGAGTTACCTGAATGACCCAGCAGCCAGAAGACAAGCCCCAGGGGGAGCCCTGAGAGACTCTGGTCATTGCAAGGCCTGGAGGCAGAGTGCCCTTCTTGGTGAGGTGGTACCGGGTGCTGCTCTCTCTTTGCAGGCAGGCAGAGCGTTTTCAGGCCAGGCATCCTTTGGAAGAGCAGAGCAGGTCGATCTGACTGAATGAGCAAGCATGCCGGCAGGAGTATTCAGAGCGAAGGGCAGCGAGCTCATGCTGGCTGGCCCTGGGCCAGGCCGTCTGCTCTGAAGCCCCTGTCATCTGACTTCCCAGTCACTGCTCAGCCTCTGTTGTTCAGAGCCTCCTTTCGGAGAGGCTGGGTTTGGCATGGTCTGGGAATAACAAGGATGTTTTTCCACAGGGAAGGGAAGAAAAACCACATGGCGGTAAGGTCACTATGTTATAGGACACAGTTGCGCTCTGGTGCCCTATGGGGCACCCTGGAGCCTTCAGCTGGTTGGGGGGCATCCACGGGTTGGCCTTAGGCAGGGATGCAGAGTGCTTGGTATGGTCACACCATGGTGGAGCACAGACCTTGCCCCTGAGTGTCCTCCCCTGGGCTTAGCACCCATCTCTTCTCAGCAAGGTCTGGAGGGCAGGGCACAGGGCTTTGGCTGCTCTCTGGGGGTGGGGAGCAGTGGGGTATCTCCAGCCTGGCAGGGGGGAGCAGCAGCCCCTCTATCTCATGGCGGTCTCAATGGGGATAGGAACTCAAACAAGGCACAGGCTGGTGAAACAGAGGGGGTGAGCGCTGTGTGTAGGAGTGCTGACAATACGGACTCCATCTTGGGCCCTCCATCTTGCTCGTGTTCGCTAGATGACCTCTCTTGGAGCTGTGTTCTGGGCCCCTGGGAGGTTAACATACATACCTTAGAAATGCCTTTGCAGGCTGGGATTGGGGGAGGCTGTTAGGCCTCCCATGAATCTGCTAAAGAGAACATAGTCTTTCCTCTTCCTGAGGCACAGGTGGTGCTGCAGATCTAATTAAAGGTTAGCTGTCCATTAGGTGTATGCAAACCCTTGAATCTCACCATAATGCCCTCCTGTGTGTCCCCTAGCTTTATAGAATCTGTGGTCGGAGGTCCAGACTTTGTGGAGAATAACTGCGTGCAGCGCCTAGATCCTCCTCCACCCGATTCTCCCTGTCAGTAAGTTACCCTGAATAAAACTCTGTAAACTGGATGGAGTCACCTGCTTTGTTTTCTGGTCTCAAAGTGCCTTCTCAGTTGAAAGATATTTTACCATCCCTCTCCCACCGTCTAACAGCGTAGCAGAGGGAATGGGACATTTTTGACTTGAGGGCCTACACTGTGCCCAGTGGAGGGCACTGCCCTCCAGGCAGGAAGGGGGCATTTAGCCTATCCATTTCAGGTTTAAATCTGCCCTATGACTAAGACCAGTGGCTTGAAATTCCAGAAAAGCTCCTCTGTCACAGGCACAGCTTAACCCCAGGGACCAGAAGGCAGAGCCAACCGCAGGGAAGATGGCCCTGCTCTCAGCCCAACTCAGGGAAAGAATGTGGTGGCTCTGAAGGTGGGGGGTGACAAGAAGCAGCTCCCACTCCCACTCTGGGTCCTGTAAGGACAGTGGTCAGGAAGGCAGAACCAGGGGGTTTGGTCTCACACTGCTAAATACCCAGACTCTCTCATCTCTCCTACCTCAGTGAACCCCTCTCAGCAAGCAGGCATGAAGCTCAGGAATCCAGCAAGGCTTGGCTGTCCTAAGAAAGAACAACAGCTGTAGCTTGAGTCAAAAATAGAACATGGAACAGTTCTGGCTGCCTGCTAGATCTGGCTTGCTTCTGAAAAGACAAGAAAGAAAAAAAGAAAGAAGACTAAAAAAAAAAAATTTTTTTTTTCCTCTGAACCAAGCAACTAAGTAAGAAACCCCACCATTCTCTCCTCCCCCAGCTCTGTACATCTTCAGAAGAGAAACACCAGCCTCCCCCAGGCACTGGCCCAGCCCCCAGCAAACTGAAGCTTTCTGGATTCTTTACAACTGGGGGCTCCTGTGGGGCCCAGGTGGACAGAGGCTAGCCAGTGGCCCTGGGGCTGTTCATAAGGCTGTATTTGTGTCTCTTCTCCCTGCCTGGGACTCTGGCCCACCAAACTCTGGGGATTGTTCCTGACCTGTAAGGAGTCTTGTCTGAATTTAGCACTGGAAATGCAAAGGGGAAAGGGTGTGCCACTCAACTGAGCCACAGGCAAAGGAGGGAAATGTCAGATCATCCCTGCACCATTTTCGTCATATATAGGTTATTCTGGATCCAGCAAAGGCTGGATTCTTGAGAAGAAAGTAAGTTCAGAGTAGCCACTGGCCAATTTAAACGAGGTGGGGGCACCCCTACCTCTGGCCCCATGAGGAAAGATCTGGAGGCTCTCCCGGGGAAATTTGGAAAGCCACACCTTCCCTGTGTCACAATCTTCCCCCCCCCAGGGCCTCAGTGTCTATGGCCTTAAGAAGAGTGGTCACTGAGATCAATGGCTACCAGCTGTCCAAAGGCTGCTTACCTCCAGTTAGCAGGGCCCAGCAGGGTCTGGCCATTACTACCTGGGTTCTCCCTCTGACCCCCTCTGGGCTTTGCTAAGTCTAGACATTCCTGGGCTGCCCCAGATTTCCCCTCCTTTTTGTGGCTTTCTAGGGTTGGGGCAGCTCTGATGTTGCTAAGCCAGGTTCTCCATACCAAAATCCAACCCCTACAACTCCGAGGCCAGAGAAAAACAGCTCAGGTTATGACCAGGTCAGGTTCTAAGGTTTATGATCACAGATGGCTTCTTTCTATCTCAAGGCATCCCAATGTGTCCAGGGGCAAAAAAAGCGGTTGTGCGAAGAGGCAGAAGGGAGCTTCTGTCCTGGGGTGGCCATCGGCCAATACAGCAGTTACCACCATCCCTGGGAGAGGGTCTAAGCATTTTTGAACAAAAAGGCAAGGTTTAGAGATCTCTTAACCAAATGATGGAGATCCCTGAACCCATCTCTTAGGAAAGCTAGAGGTCTGGTGGGCTGCAGGGATGGTAAATGCTGCAATGTGGGCAAGGACTGCAAAGGTTATGTAGCAGTCCTTCCTACCCCCCTCCCCTGGAGAATCCCAGTCTGTGCCTTGGGGAAGGCCTCTCACAGAGGCCTGAGTTACTGAGCAGGGGAGTGGGGAGAGGAGCCCTCCGTGACAGGCTCTGTACCCCTGCCTCCCGATGCCAGATCCCTGGCTCTCCCTCTCCTGGTAGGTCCCTCAGATCTCAGTGGCTATGATGTCCTCATAGGGGATGTCGGCCCCTTCAAGGTCAATTTCAAAGGGCTCCCCTGCACCGTCCCCACGGGCCAGTTGCTGCAGAGCCTTCTCCAGGCGCTGGTTCCGCTGGTACATGGCTAGGTAGCTCTGCTGTAACTGCTTCTGGTACTGGATCACCTTCTCTTTCTCCTCCTTCCACACCAGCCGCTCATGCTGGAAGCCTGAGGACATCTGGTCGTGGCCTTGCCGCTCCTCCTTCAGCTCTGCACGCAGCCGCTCCAACTCCCGCTGCAGGGTGGGGATGTCCTCAGAGAAGGTAGTCCCTGGCCCAGGCCCCAGTCCTGGCCCCATAGACACAGCATCCCGCTGCAGGGCAGCCTGGGCCCGCAGCTCCAGCAGCTCCTGCTCCAGCAGGTTCACCTTCTCTCGGAGAAGCTCAGACTCATTTTTCTTGCGCTGTAGCTCATTCTCACAGACCTCTAGCTCTAGGCCCTTGGTGCGCAGAGCGCTCTCCAAATCCTGGGTCTTCAGCTCCATGCCTTCCAGTTTGCCCCGTGTGTCCTTCAGCTGCGCCTTCAGACTGAGGATCTCACTAGCCTTGACATTGATCTCTGTCTGGGACTCCTTCAGCTGCTGCTTCAGGAGAGAGATTTCACCTGACTTCTGGCACACCTGCCAAGGGTTGGGTGGGGGAGAAGAGAAAAGTGCTAAGATGTAAGAGGTCCTTACCTGGGGCAAGTAACATCTTAACTGCCTAAAGAATTAGGCTGGTCCTGACACGGTATCTCAAGAGCATGACGGTCTGGGTGAGCCATGAAGGCCGAGCCCCTCTCTGAGCTTCCTTTCGTTCTGTAGCCTGACTTGGTCCGTCCACATGCCTGCCTCAATCCCAAATCAGAGTCTAAATCTCAATCTGTACCCAAACCCATGGCTATGTGTAACTCAGTGACCACTACCGGTAGCTCCATCATCCACACTTAACAATCAATGATATTGATGTCCACGTCTGCCAAACTTCTGTCATTCATGTTTGTGCCCATATCCTCTGACCTCATCCCTGCGCACACCCAGCTCCCCTCTCTCCCTACTGGGATAAAGACTATCTTCAATCATTAACTGCTGCACTCCAATGACAAGCAACACACCTGGCTCAGAGTGTCAAATTCAGATCTGCCAAATGGAGAGCTACTATGTTCTCCCCCTGCCCCACCCCTCCACCTTTTCTATTCTTATTTCTTTTGCAAAAGTTGGCCAAGAGCAGCAGACAAAACCAAAGGCACTGATTCAGATCCACGGGTCTCCGGGGTCTTGGCCCATTTGGGGTCATAGGTGGTTCAAAAGAAGATCAAGACCAGTCTGGCCGGTGGTGTCACAAGAATGACTTTTCTCCTGCCGGCCTATGGGCAAGCTGGACAGAATGAAGGTCAGGGCCTGGGCCTCTATAGAATGGATTCTTGGATCAAGACCAGAAGCCACCTTAATTTCTCCTCACTTCACTCACAGTAACCCCCAACCCCTTGTGCTCATGAACCATTTATGAAGCAATGCAGAGTTCCACCCGCAATACTTGTGTGGGACCAAGGATGCCTTTCTAAGACCAAGCCTGTATTTGTTTCACAGAGGGAGCAACATAGAATCATGGTTTAGGCATGGGCCTGCCTTTGAGTCCTGGCTGGATCATATATGATATGACTGGCTGATCCTGGCAATATACTACACTAGTGTTGTGGCACTATGGAGTAGTGATTAAAAATGTGAACTCTGGAGCCAAAGTGTTGAGATCAAATCCTGGCTCTGATACCTATTATGTGGTGACCGTGGGCAAGTCATTTAACTTGTTACTATAACCTCTCTGTGCCCCAGTTTCCTTAACTAACTTAAGGATTAGTAACAGTACCTACTTCATAGGGTTATTATAAGGATAAAATGGGAGAACCTAGGACTTGGTACTTAATAAACACTTGATAAATTATTATCTTTCTAAATATGTTTGCAATATATTTATGTGTTATTTTAAATGTTTATTTTTTTATGGTTTTGCTATAGAGCCTGACTGGACAGTCTGGGAATGAGGTCACAGCAATGCCCAGCGTAGTTGGGGATTGGGCAAATAAGGATGGGTGCCTAGCGCCAGGACTAGCTTACATTTCTGAGTTGCCCCAATGTGTCCTGAGCCCTGGCTGAAAAACAATGGCTGGGGTGAGGTCTGCGTTGCCAACATCAATGGGAAAGTGGACAGGCACTGCTCCCATGGCCAGCATCCTTTCTTCTTTGGGAGACCTGGCAAACACAAGGGACTTTCCCTTCTCACCTGTCCAGTCCCCCTGTTCATCTCTGCCAGAGAAAGGACCCTTTTCCTCTACTCCTGATGACACTTGTCCTTCTCATTTCCAGAATAAGTGCAGCAAGCTGCAGTGCATCTAGGAAGCTGTGCTGCTGAGGATGTGTCACCGCACCTGGGGGTGGCGCTGCTCTAACCAGACACAATGCCTCCTCAGTTCCTTTCCAGGGTAGGCGTCTTTGGGGAGAATGCCAGAGCCACCATGCCCACACCCCTACCTGCGCACCCCACCCCCCGTACCACCTTGAAAGCCCCTTCAGGTGAGGAAAGCTACCTGCTGGAGAGCAGGATGTGGAAGTTAAGCAGGCTCTCCAGCAAAGCCAGGTTCAGATGCCTCATTTCTAGGTGCTGTGTGCCCTTCTCTTGCTCATGTTTCCATTGCAGCCCACCAAACAAAGCCCCACTTACACTTCTGTGAGGAATGAGCCATTCTGTCAGTGATACCTGCCCCAAGTGAGGTCACTCTTCCTGGTGGGTGGGGTCCCTTCTCTCAAAAGTAACAAGGTCTCTGCTCTCTTGTGGTCTCTTGAACCACTGTGAACTCAGGCTCAGGAACGGCTTGTGCTTCCTTTGAGCCTCCCGCAAGAGGAAGTGGGTCAGCCCTCAGACTGCCCAATGAGCCTCCGTTCTCCTGGTTCCAGCTTCTCAGTCAGTGACTCAGTTAGTAAATTCAGTTCTGGAAGCCATGAGACCCTGGGGTAGCAGAGAGTAGGAAACTCACACAAATCATAGCCCCTTCTCTGGGTCCCAAGGCTGGCACTTTGGCTCACTCTGCTTAGGCAATTTGTGTTCACACACCATGGGCTAGGACCTGGAGAAACAGCGACTGGCATCAAACACCTGACTGCCCCCCCCCCCCCCCCCACCGCAGCCCACACAGTAAAGCCTCACCTCCCACTGGGTCTCTTCTAGCGCAGGGACGAAGCTGGTCTTCTCCTTCTCGTAGGACCTGAGCTTGGTCTCCAGCAGGTCCTGCTCCTTCATGAGGCTCTCAAGTTCCTGCCGGAGCTGCCGCTTCTCCTGCTGGAGCTGGAGCACCTGGAGGTGCAGCCCCTGCTGCGTGCGCTGGCTCTTCTGGGAAGCTTGCTTCAGTTTGCTGCTGCCTTTCTGCTCCAGGCCCTCCCGCCCCTCCTTGCAGCGCCACTGCCGCTCTTCGGAGGCCTGGCTGGAGGGCAGCTCCTTCTCCTCCAGGCTGCACTGCAGCTTCTGCAGCTCTCCTCTCCCCAGCAGCTTCTGCTCAAGCTCCTGGATGGTGCACTCGTCTGTGGAGATGGGGCAACGCACACATGAGGAACCCTTGTCCGCCTGGCTTGGGTGGGCCAGCTTGCTACCCCCATCAGAGAAAGATAGAGCCTTCAGGCTCATCATGTTGCTGTCCTGGAGGATGATGCCCTGGGTAATGTTGTGGGCTGAGCCCCCAAAACGGCTGGTTGGCCCCACTGGCGTAACCAGTGGGTCCAACTGGTAGCTGCTGCTGGTGCTGTGCGTGGGCAGGCTGGACATGGAGTTCCGGCCGGAGTCAGACAGCGCCCCAGAGCACAGGCTGGGCTTTGGCTCCTGTTCCTTGGGCCTGTCTGGAGGGGCAGGGTGCAGCTGGTGGCTGGAGCTCTCAGGGGACGAGTGGAGGATGGCTCCTGACCGCGGCAGCACGGGCTTGAATGCTGTGGGCCTCGCCGCACCCTTCTCTGAGCCCTGGTGAGGAAAACAACCGTATCCATCCAATGTCTTCCCTCAGCTCCCCTTGCACCCTTCCCTCCCTTGCCTGAGTATGTGTACCAGCCACGCAGCATCCTTCTTGGTCATAGCCACAGGCAAGGTTTCCTGTGGCTATGAAGCAGCCGAATATGGTGAGTCTCTCTCAGGAAGGAGAAATTCCTTTGTGTCTAGGGATGGCTATCCTTAAGGATGACCCAGGCACTTTGTTTTATAAACTACCAACCTGTCATAAGCTTGTCCCCACCCTCCTGAGATGACGAACAGCATTTTTAGGTTCACTGGCTGAGATCCCTGGGCCAGGGCTCTGGCTCTGGGTCTCTGGGTGGTATAGGGTAAAGCAATTAGGCTGGACGAGCATGGTGCCCTTGTAGAGGTCAATCCCTTCTTCACCTTCACTGCCCCTTCCAGTAGGCCAGGAGTAAGAAAACTGGCTATGACCAGTATTGAAGGGGTGGGAGGATCACTTGAAATAACAATCCTTTTCTGAAAACTGTCATTTTCACTGGGAGAGTGCACTGCAGTCTACAAGCCCTTTAATTTGAAAAACTGAAAGCTCTTTGTAAACTAAGGGGGTCCCTTCCTAGTATATCAAAGCCATGGATTCAACCCCCCAGGTGGGGGCAAAGGCTTAACTAGGAAAATTTTCAGGTCCACTGGTGGGACCCATGAAAGCTTGAGGTGGCATAAGGGCTGGATTTCTGAGTATTTAGGGTACTTTTAATCTCATCCTTGCTAACTTGATGATAACAAACTTGGCTTTTATCCAGCCAAAGACATTTCCAAGGCCCAGCTTGAGTGAGGAGCTGCTGCACCACAGGAAGAGTGAGTGAGGGAAAGGCCCACCTCCAGGAGTCTGCTAGCAGAGAAGTGGCTAGCTCTCTCCAAGTGGACTCTCCATTGGCTCTTCCAGAGATAACAGAGCTCCCTCCTCTTGCCATGCACTTGAAAATGCTGCTGTTGGTCCTGCTTTGACAACCAATTGCATTTCAGTAGAGCTCAGAAAGGCTTTCATTCCCCTTTGCTCTTTGCTTAGGGCTCACCCAAGGCTTCCAGATTAGAGGATTGACCAATGCTTCAATTCCCTCATCTAGCCTTTGATCTCTGTGGTGTAACTGAGCACTTTCGCCCTTACCACCACTGCTCTGGCCTCTTGGAGGTTTAAATGTTAGTATCACCACCTACATTCCCCTCTCCCTGCCTCCCTGCTCTTTACCCCCATTTTGCTCTCTATTGGTTTTCTGACCCACCCACCCTTACCAGAGACCCTTGCTTACCATTTCTAGCTGATTGGAGAAGGGCATAAGCTTGGGTGGGGTGGACGGGCCAAAGTCCACCCCAGGCTGGCCGCCTATGTCCCCACTAGACAGTGCAGTGTAATCTGGGTGGTGGGAGCCCCGGGCTTTCTGGCTGACCTTGATGTAGAAGAAGTCTTCACTCTTTCCCATTTTGGAGCTGGACTTGCCATGGCCTGAGTCCTGAGAGAAGCCAAATCTCAGCAGCCCATCTGAATACCGATTGAGCTTCTTGAGATGGGAGGATTTGCCCAGCTTGTATCGTGAAGCCCGGCAGTGCTTGCCGTGAAAGCTGTGGCCAGAGATGAGGCTACTGACACTACCCATGCTGGCTTGGGGCCAAGGACAGACAGGGCAGAACGGGGATCTGGTGTGGCTGCGGCAGCAAAGGGCAGTCCTGGTACCACGAGGGAACTGTGGTCATAGCAGAGGCCTCGAGGAGCCTGGGAGAGCTGAACACCTGGAAGGGGACAGAAGGCAAAAGTCAGCCTGAGAAGGGCCAGTCACTGCACAGTCCTCGATGGCGACTTGGAGAGGAGTTGGTTCTGACTGCTAGATCTGAGCAGTAGAGAAAGTATGCTTCTCCTAATGAAAGCTCAGCCTTGACTGTTACTGGACTCTTTGTTCATTCTTCCTTTGTCTGCTAATTCAACAAACATTCACTGAGACCCTCCTTTGGGATGGCCCTCCTCTAAGTCCTGGGATACTGTAGTGACTGACACGGCTACAGTCCCTGCACTTGCGGGACTTGTGCTCAGTGTAGTGTGGACAGGCCATCAACAAATCAGTGTCTACTATTCTTAGTGATATACATGCTATGGGGGAAAACTAAGCAGAGTAAGTGTAGAATTCTGGGAGGTGGTTATTTTATACAGGCGGCACAAGGGAGGCCTCTCAGTTGTGGTATCATTTGAAGAAACCTCATGAAAATGAGTGAGCAAGCCAGGTAGAAATCTGGGGGAAGAGAAAAGAAGCTCAGAAGCCCCAAGAACAGAAGCCCTAAGTCCCTGTGGTGGACTGTGCTTGGCATATGTGAGACCAGTCAAGAGACCAGTCTGGCTGGAGAATAGTTAGCAATGAGGGTGGGGGGCATAGGACAGGCAGAAGTCAAAACTAGCAGGTACCAGGACATAGAGCCTGGTTGGACATAGGGCTGGAATTTAACTCTGATTGAGATGAGGAGCCCCTACATGGCTTTAAGCAGTTGATTACTTGATCTTAGACTGCAGAGGGTCACTCTGGCTGCCGGGTGGAAAAGGGGCTGCTGATAGGCCTGGATGGAAGTGGTGGGCCAATTACATTAGGCGAGTGACTAACATGACTGGGCCGAGGTGGTAGCAGTGGATTGCATTTTAGATGTAATTTTAAAGTCCAGCTGATAGGATTTGCTACAGGACTGGATGCGGGGAATGAGAGAAAGAGAGGAGTCAAGATGACCTCAATATTTTTATCCAAGCAACTAGAGGACATAAGTTGCCATTTATTGAGGTACAAAAGACCACAAAAAGAACCAGTTTAGGATGAGGTGGGGGTGGAAAATAGGAGTTTGGTTTAAGACATTAAGTTTGCAGAGCCTATTAGACATCCAAGGAGCGCTATAGAGTAGGCAGTAGGATGGGTGGAGAGCTGCAGATTTCCATGTAAAAGCTGTTGATTATAGAAGCCAGCTATCCAACTAGGTGACATAAGTACGGAAGTGAAGGCGGGAAGATAAGAGAAGTCTGAGGACTGGTTCATGGAGGTCAGAAGGTGAGGAGGAATGAAGAGGAGAAACTGAGAAGGCTCTGACTGATAGAGGAGACCTAAGAAAGAAACTGTTTTGTAAGGATGGTGTCAGGGGCTGCTGCTGCTGAGAGTTGGTCAATGGGTCTGGCCATGTGGAGGTAGGTTGTCACTGACCTTGACAAGACCAGTTTGGGTGGAGGGGTGGAAATCAAGGCCTGACTGGAGAGGGTTCCAGAGAGAAAGAAGAGGGAAATAATTGTACCTCCGAATGTTGAGAAGTTTAAAATGCTTTTAAAAGTAATAGGAATGCCCAATCCAGGAATCACACTACTGGGTATTTACACTAAAAATACAACAACACTAATTCAAAGGGATACATGTACCCTATGTTGATTGCAGCATTAGTTACAAGAGCCAAACTATGGAAGCAGCCGAGGGGGATGGATGGATAAAGAAGAGGTGAAATACATATATATATATATATTCATATATATATATATATATTCATATATATATATTCATATATATATATTCATATATATATATATGAATGATGGACTGTTACTCAGCCATAAGATAGAATGAAATCTTGCCATTTGCAAAGACATAAATGGAGCTAGAGAGTATAATGCTAAGTGAAATAAGTCAGTCAGAGAAAGACAAATACCATATGATTTCACTCATATGTGGAATTTAAGAAACAAAACAAATGAGCAAAGGGGAAAAAAGAGAGAGAGAAAAAGGCAAACCACAAAACAGACTCCTAACTATAGAGAACAAAGTGATGGTTACCAGAGGAGAGGTGGGTGCAGGGATGGGTGAAATAGATGATGGAGATTAAGGAATCCACTTGTCAGTTATGGGCACCCAGTAATGTATGAAAGTGTTGAATCGCTACTGTACATTAACTATACTGGAATTAAAATAAAAAACTGAAAGTAATAGAAATGCATTTTATAACCAGTGCTGAAAATAACAACAACCTTGCCAGTCACCACACAGAGGAATACATTGGGATGTCAACACCAGCACATTTGCAAATTTGAACAAATCTCTAAGCTTAGGCCACATGACTTTCAAAGCTGGGAAAATCCATGGGGTTGTCATGCATTGTGAAGGAGTATTTCTTAGTTAAAAGATAGATGATGGGGAGGGGGACTGTGAGTTTAGTAAAATAGGAAAAGCAGAAGAAACCTTGTATTCTTTATTCTGCTCTAAATTACACTGTTAATCCTAAAGATGTGAAAGAAGTCCCAGGCGGGTTATAGGGCATTGTATGTGCAGAGTGGAAGAAAGGACTCTTCAGACTCTGGATATGAAGGCTTGAATTCAAACTTGCATTGTTAGCCTGAACTGTAAAGTAGTTAGGTTACGAATAAACGCATTCTATATTCCATTAGTAGAGGCACAACACAACAAGACATCATGGTGTAAGTACAATGTATGTTTTCTTTGAAAAGCTTTTATTAAATTGATGGTCTCTTAGACTCAAGGAAACACAGTTATGCCTACCTCATAGGATTGTTAAGAGAAGTTTATGAGACACCAAAATAAGCTAATACGTCTAGGACATTTACTAAATGCCTACACAAGAGGCACCCCATAACTGGCAGGTATTTTCCTTGGTATTTATCATTGTTCTCCGCAGCATTCTTCATCCCCATGTTATCTTCAGTGCCTCACCTCATTTTCCAGAACTAGTGCTCTCTGTTCCATTGGGATGCAACTTTCCTGCATCCCAATCCCCAATGATGTTACTTAGCAGTACAGAGATCCTCTGCTAATTTACCAGTTGACGATGACAAAATGTGTTTTTCACCCCCACATCTTCCATCTCTTGCTTAACTGGGCCTTCAGATCCTAAGAATCAAAAATTCTACTGTTGTCCCATGTAGGGAAGCTATTTTTAGCCAAAAGCCTCTCCTGCACTCTGCACACTACACCACTTGGGCAATGAGTGACTTACTTTTTGCCTATCCAGTACACATTTATGAACATTATGAACATACAATGTTGTAGAGATAAGACAGTTGGCTATGGCCTCAGACAGATATGGATTTCAAAATTAACCTCTCTGAGGTTTCTTTGCTTATAAATTGGAAAAAATAACTATTTCATAGGACCAATAGGAGGATGAAGCAAACTAACAAGTCAAGGGCAGTGCTAGGCACATGGTTAGTGTTCTACAAATGTATGTGTGATCAACTGAAGGCCAAGATGAGGGTGCTGCCCTCAAGAAGCATACAACATAGCTGGACTATAACTATAGTTTTGGCAGACATGCTACATAAATCTGTCCATGGCTCTCCTGTTCCGAGACCATCTCCTCTCTTGCGGTCCTTGAGACGGCCTCCAAATTTGTCTTTCCCCAGTCTGTTCTTCCTGAGTAGCTGAAGTGTCAGTGTCATGCTCCCCGATGGTAACCCTTCAAAGCTTCTAACTGTTCCTAGAATAAGGTCCTGAGCAGGCCTTGGTTTCTACCTACTGCTCCAGTCCTATCTTGTCCCATTCTTTCCTTGCTCACATCCGAAAGGATAGCCAGACTCATCTCTCCCCTATTGGTGAACACACCAAGCCTTTCCCCACTGAGGAGCTTTCACACCTGCTGCTACCTCTGCTGACAATTCTGTTTCCTTAGCTATTCTCACAGATCTTTCTCATCCTTCAGTTCTAAATTCAAATATTACCTCTGCAATGTGATCTATGGTTACCCTTGAAAAAAATCCAAGTCCCCCGTTACTCTCTATTGTACCAGCCTGTTTATTTCCTTCATAACAACTGCTTAACCTGAAACAATATTATTTTTTAATTTGTTTATTGTGTGCATCTTCACCAGAATATATAAGTTCTATGAAAGCAAAGACTTCAAATCTATAGCTCCTAGGACAAAATGAGGAAGTGAGGCATGAGGTTACATGATGTGGCCCTTGTCATTTAACTGGCCAGTGGCTAAGCTGGGACTTGAACCTAGACCCAAATTCCAGGGTCTCCATGCTACAGCACAATGCTGGGGACTGCAGGTAAGGCTCAGAGATGTTAGGGCTCCCATCCTGGATAGCAAAATAAGTTTCCAGGGATGGGGAAGAGAAAGCCTGGAGGAGAAGTCAGGGTCCATGGCCTCTAGCCATAGTCACATTTCCCTTTTGGGAAGATGACAACAAGGTTTTAGGAATAGGTAAGCTTCTTGGTTCACCTGAGTAGCAATGTGGATTACCTGTGATGCATGAATACTGTGCTAGGCCCTAGAGGATGAGAGGAGGAAGACAAATGATGCCAGGGAGCGCAGGAGAGGAGTGGGGGCAGGATGGTGGCCTCTGGTCCCCTGAGTGCATTCCTGTCCCATAGCGCCAGATCCCTTTTCTCCATTTCCTAGGTCTTGACACAGAAGAGCTTTGAAGTTCGAGATTATCCCCAAATGCACTTGAAGCTAAACAAATTACCTTTAAGTGTCTGGACTTGTTCTTTTATCAACTTGCATCACAGAAAATGTGGCTATGATCCATCCCAGTTCCCAAACCCTAGGTCTTCCCATCCGCCCAGCCCTGCCAGATTTGCTATCTATGTACTCAGGAAGGACAAGGCATAGGGGCACATTTGTGTTCCTGGGAGGCAAATCCCTACTGGCCCAAAGTACTGCGCGTACTTGGGGTAAAAAATAAGTAATCACGCAGATCCTGGAGGTTCAAGAAGGGGAAAGAAAGAGGCAAGAAGACAAGAGATGAAAAATAAAGGGGC